AGGTTGAGGGCTTTTTTAAGCCATACATCCATTGATATGCTAATATTTTTTTTATTAACATGATGAATTGTAGTCATGTATTTCTGGATTAAAGACACAAAGTCATACTGTATTACCTTTCAAAAAATTCTGGTAGCTTGCTGGATTTTATTTTCCAAAATTCTGATATTCTAAAAGGATTTATTATTTATTTTGTGGGCCTGGGTGTTTTGCCTGACTGTATGTCTGCGCACTGCATGCATGCAGTGCCTACAGAGGCCAGAAGAGGGCATCAGATCTCCAGGAATTGGAGTCACAACCTGTTAAGGTCCATGTGGGTGCTGGTAATTGAACCTGGGTCTTCCTACAGAGCAGTCAGTGCTCTCAACTGCTGAGCCATCTATCTCTCCATCCTAAAATTCTGATTTTTCTGTGGGTGTTTGTGAGGGATGCTGACCTCATGAGTCATAGTGTTCTTGTGGTCTCTCATGTCTTTGTGTGAGGGTAAGGCTAACCTTCTAAAACAAGTTAAGAAATGCTTCTTCCTCTATCCGTCTTGCAAAGCTGGATGTGGCGTGGTGGTGCACAGCTGTGATCCCAGCACTCTGGAGGAGGAGCAGGAGACTTACCTGTTCCAGCGCCTAACTGCTGAGCCATCACTGCAGCCCCTCCTGCTCCTTTGTCCTTTAAACTGGACAATGGCTTTGTTTCATGTTCAAGTCAATTTTCTTTTTCCTCTACCAAGTCCATCTTGCTGTTAAAATGTAGCGATCTTTTAATTTTTTTCTGATATTATATTTTTAGTTTTGGGATTTCAAGGGTATTTATTAATTAGTTAATAATTTTTTACCAAGGTAAGGTTTCTCTGTGTGTTATTCTTTCGGTCCCTGCCCTAGCCACGCCCACTCCCATAACCTCTGACCTGCCCATCGCCATCTTGGGACCCGTCCTCTTTCTGCTTCCTTGGCGTGCACACGCGTTTTCTCTGTCTCTCTCTTCTTTTATCTCTTTTCTCTGTCTTTCTTTCTCCCTCTTCCTTAATAAATACTTATGGCTATTTCCTGTGTTTACGTGTCTGTTACCTGCCGCCACCATGGGCCAAGGAAGAGTGCCCTCCTGTAGCTGCTTTCTCATGGTGGGCTCCGCCAACCCGCCCGGGAATCGCTTTTTAAGAATAACAAATGGTGCCGCGTGACTCCCGAACTGGGTTCTTTTCCACTTCGCCGGCCTACGACCCACTTGTTCCATCTACCTGGATGCAGCTCCTCCAAACAACAAATCAACTAATCCTGAGTGTCCCATCTCAGCCAGCTTAACCATCTCTTCTAACTCAAGGGTTTGACCGTTGAGCTCCCGGCAACCCTTCACGGTTTTTAGGGATGGGGGAACCTACAACCGCGGGCCTTCAGGGCCTCGGTTCCCTTTGCTGGCATTCAATTCGGCTTGTCTTCTGTGTTAAGCCTGTGCCTGAGACAGCTGACCTTAGCCAGCCCCTCAGCTCACCTGCGCCTGGAGGCCCGGGGTCTCCAGTTCTCCCTCTTTTTCTTTTTTCAATCCTTTTCTTCCTTCTTTTCGTTGTAACTGCTGCTACGGTGCAGCACGCTGCTATGGTGTGGCCTGACCTTGGCTGAATCCCTCCTGCCCGGGAATCCCTCTCCCATTGGAGGCTCGAGTCGATTCAGCCAGGTTATAACACCCCCCTATGGAATCGGACGCCTTTTCATAGGGCCTGCGGGTGTTCTGCCATCCGCATCTTGCCTTAACGGGGAGCCGTTCTCGTTGTAGGCTTGAGGTGCCACAGTTTTTGCAGGTGTTTGCACGGTCTTGACCACGGGAGCCAATCCATCCAGATCTATCACTCTGGCTTTATCTTTTAATGCCTTACACTTATCCGTTTCTGTCCAAATAAATGGCCCCATTAAAACTATACATGGCCGTTTTTCGGTTCCAGCCTTTTGCCCCTCCCCTCTGCGGCTTTTGTTGTGGCTTGGCGGGCTTTCCAACAGAGCAGACTACACGTGGCGGTCGCCATCTTGGCTGAGGGCCAGATCACGTGACCTCACTCTCCTGGTTTTAACCTGCCTCTTCACTCAGTTTTCACTAAACTCCTCATGCTAACTCTGTTAAATATGATTTGAGCAATGGTCAAATGCCTTTGATAGGGCCTGTCAGAGGCATCCACGTTGCCCAATTTTTGTTTACTCTCTATGTATAATAATTGTTTATTACATCTTATTTCAGACTACAAAACATGAGTCTTGTATTTTAAACTGGTATGTACCTTTAAGTCTCTTAAGCTGTTCTCTACCATTGTCAGTTTTACTGCTAACCTTATATTTCAAGCAGTTTTTCCCGCTCTATCTTTTTACAAATGTAAATCTTACCTGTTGAGAGCCAATTTGGTCAAGCTCCGACCCAACTTTCCAAACAAATTCTATACTGTAGTTATTCCTGATAAACAGCCCTCAACTGCTCAGAGATCTGGGGAATGTGATATTTAAGTATTTAATTATTAAAAACTTTTCACAACAACAAAAAAGAGACAGGTTGGCCAGCAGCTCTCTGCTCCCTCCAAAGAAGACAGAAGACAGACACGCGCAGAACAACGTCCTTCTGCATCTCGCTTTGACTGCCGAGTGCTGACCATTGGGCAAAACTGCCTTTCATCTAAACTAAAGACCTCTAGACGTGGACGGAATCACTGGAATTGACAGCCTAGCTGCTCAGGTCAAGGTAGGCCTGTCTTCCTACAGATTTCTTAGCCCACAGGGTCTTCTGGAGCCTGGCAGGCCCTGCGCCATCTTGGGACCCTTCCTCTTTCTGCTTCCTTGGCGTGCGCATGCGTTTTCTCTGTCTCTCTCTTCTTTTATCTCTTTTCTCTTCTTTTATCTCTTTTCTCTGTCTTTCTCCCTCTTCCTTAATAAATACTTATGGCTATTTCCTGTGTTTACGTGTCTGTTACCTGCCGCCACCATGGGCCAAGGAAGCGTGCCCTCCTGTAGCCGCTCTCTCATGGCGGGCTCCGCCAGCCCGCCTGGGAATCATTTTTTAAGAATAACACTGTGTACTCCTGTCTTTCCTGGAACTCACTCTGTAGACTAGACTGACTTCAAAATCAGGCCTCTGCCTCCCAAATACTGGGATTAAAGGCATGAGCCACCACAGCCCAACCAAATGCTGTTTCTTTGATCAAGCTATTGTCTTAGTTGGATTCAAACTGAAACATCTGTGTCTTATGTAGCAGGCACTAGTCCCAGCTCAGAACTTTTTTTTTTTTTCTTAGCAGCTTAGCCACTTTCTCTGTGAATACATAACTCAAGGTTTGAGCCGAGATGGGGACAGATAGGATGTTGGGAACTTTCCTGGCTCTTTCTATCAGAGAATTTCCCTTTTCATTTTCTTCTCAAGTTTGCTTGGTTCCTACAACTGAAACCTGTCTCTCCCCCCCCCACTCATCCTTTGTTCCCCATTTAGCACATGGCCACCTGCGTCTGGCCTCATCCAAAGCTGCAAACACGGGGAACCCATTCAGAGAAGTTACACGAAATGCTGTCTGTTTTTGAGCAAATCGCATGTGCTTATCTGTTGATTTTTGTGTACGCTTGTGTGGACTCATGTGCGTGAGTCACAACACCCGCGTGTGGAGGTCAGAGGACGAGGTGTAGGAGTTGGTTCTCTCCTTCTACCGTGTGGCTTCTGGGAATTGAACTCTGGTCATTAGGCTTGGCAGCAAGCGCCTCAACCAGCCAATCCATCTTCCTCAGCCTCCGTCCTCCTCTGTCTGCAGTGTAATGTAACTCAGCCATCATTCGAAATGGAGATTGGCTTTCTTTAGCATAATCCCTAGAAAATAAAAACTACTTTTTAATAGTTTAAGGAATGGAATAATTTAAGCCTTGTTGGGCTTGACACAGAGTGAGCCCTATTGAGTGCTTGGTGGCTGAATCTTCCCAAGGGCGTTCCAGTCGGTGGGTTACCCCAGTGTCCTTCTGGTCACCTCCTCATAAGGCAGCACATTCCATTTTAGAGATTCAGAGCATTTGAAATACCTTAATTGGCTCCAAACATGTCCATTTCTGCGTCAGAAATGGGAAAGTTCAGTTCTCATTCCAACTCCCCTGGCCACACAGAATGAGCCAGGATTCCAGAACCATCCCTGAGCTCCCAAGTGAGCACAGCAGCCTGACTCTTCCTCTGGTTCTGTTATAAATCTCCAGTTCCGTCTTGGTGCTGGCCTCTGTCTTCTGAGCCTCATTGCTCGTTTAGAGTGTGCCATCCAGAAGGATGTCCTCACCCTTCTGGTTTTCCAGCAACATTCCTGGCAGCTGTGGTGCAGTTGGCTGATACTGAACCAGTGCCAGTGAGCGCTAGGATGCCCCTCTTATCTCTCCCTCCCTAAGAGCACCCAGTAGCTTCCCCCACAGCCTCCCCTTCCTAAGGCACAGGGCATCTAGTATTGAGCAACTTGCTGCCATCAGAGCCCGCTTTGCTCTGAGATCCTTGTCACCTTAAGGGCATCAAGCTTAGACATGACTTGGAAGTCACCTGCCTCAAGGCCACTAAGTCTGTATAGTTGCTTACAATCTCCAGAAACATGAATCTGCATCAGATGATAGAACTCTTGATCAAGGTAGGATCTACCCAGGCCATAGTGGGAAAATGAAAACTGCATGTGGAATCCTACGGTTGGCAGAGCAGTTTCTGCCTCACCGCCCTGGATCTACAGAATAACCAGGAGAACTGGATGAAGGAGATGAAGAGGGTGCACGTGCACCATTTGACAGATTGGAACTCAGATGGTTAAAAACAAGGGGTCTCTACGTGTTTATTAGAAAACACTTTCCTCCACGCCCTAGACACCCTCCGTTTTGAATTCACCTCAGCCAGTCTCTCCATGGGAAGTTCCGCCCTGAGGCAGTTTTGGACACAGAAGATCTGTCCTCATCCCCATGGGAGCACAGCTGTGTGGTCAGGAGGCAGAGGCTTCTCCAGGCTGCTTTACAAGATGTTGCCTCTGGACTCCAGCAATCAACAAAAACCCAGGTACGAAGGCTTGGCTGCCCCTGACCTTTTACATACCCCGAGCTGAGTTGGGGGAGGAGGGAACTTCTACACAAAAGGGTCCGAGGAATGACCCGGCCTGCCTCAGCTACCTGCTGTTTCACACAAAGGGGCCTGAGGCCCCGGCTGCCTCTGGAAGCCAAAGAAAAGGGCCGAGATAATGAGTGGCTGGGCTACCGCTGCTCTCTTCAGAGAGACCCGAGAAGGAAGGCGGCCAAACCTCCCTGACAATAAAGAAGTAACAAATGAGGAATAAAAGCTTATGGAAGACATCTTAACCCAGGGATGAAAAAAAATGTCAACATCTGTGAGGTTTTCTGCACCAGCGGCCCCGGCCCTAATGAAAACTCTCCAGAGAGCATTCCCGGCACACAGGCAAAAAGGCTACATTTTTCTCTGGGGCGTGGAGGGTTCGACCAGGCTGCCCTTTCCCTTTCAGATGCTGCTGAACCAAGCACTAATGTTCATCTACAGCTTTCTGAAGGCTGAAGGGGCAGGAGGAGAATGGCGCGGGCGCGAGACCGTCTTTATTCCTCGAGTCGGAGGTGGGTGGATTTAAGAGCCGGCTACGTGTCGGCACGTTGAGGAGAGGAGGAAAAGGCAGAGGAATTAGAGAAAACGCTGTTTAACAAGGGTCCCTTTTGACCGGGGCCTCTCAGAAGGACGAAGCGCCCGGAGGAGTAATCCTCTTAGCACCGACTTATGTGTGTGTACAAAACAGGGAAGGCGAAGCTGGCTAAAATACCTCATGAAAACACAGAGATTTGTGTCCAGGCTTCACCTTGCATTCTGGAGACTGGGACCGGCAGATGTTTGCTTGTAAGGCTCATTTACAAATGCAGACTAGGGGCTCTGGGGCCGGGGAGGAGTTGACCCCACTCTCTCCAGAGGTGGGGTTTAGGGGACTTGGAACCTCAAGACTTTCTCTTGGGGGTTCTGACACTCCGTATCCCCCAAGTCATGCCTTTGAGGTGGTCTGTGTGGTCTCATTCTTTGAGTGTGTGCTCTGACTTCACCAGGATGGAACTCCATGACTTAGCCCAAGAAAAAGCAAATCCTAACCAATAAAAGCAGCTGCCTGGGCTGATTGGGGAGGCCGACATGAGAAGAAAAGAGCCCCTAAATCTGGAGCCACTTTTCTGCCGAGTTATGGTCAGAGAATGCAGAGATGGTCTTTACACACACACACACACACATGCACACGAGTGAGCACACACACACACACCCCCAGCCACACACATGTAATGTTCATACATGTGACACACATAGGCAAACAGAATAGCATGTACACATATGGACATCAGTCATCCATGTATGCACGGCACACATCTGCATCTTGTCAATAATAAACGCACACTCCAGATGAATTTGGTACCCACGCCCCCTCCCAGCCAGGACTGTCCAGCCTTTTTGGCAAGCATCTCCCTTCTCCAGATTCTTCAAGCAGAGGCTATCAGGCCAAATGTCTTTTCTGATTTGATCTCAAACTGAAACAAGATGTGATGAGAGTAAATGAGAAGCTTGGGACTGCCAAGGACACGCCACCTAACCGACTACCGGAAGTGTCCTTCCTTCCTTGGATGGACTGTGCAGAATCCAAACTGTTGGCCATTGCAACACCAAGAGGCAGAGCGGGCAGCCAGGACTCAGTGACTCAGGTCAGGTGTGAGCTGTCCCTCTGTGAGTTGACCCCGTGGTCCTTGGCTTATACGACAGGTAGTGAGCATCCAGGCCGTTGTCATGGTAACTGAGCAGTTCTGAGAGTGCTCTGTAGTACCATTTCATTTTTATTAATCACACACACACACACACACACACACACACACAGGATGTATGTGTAGAGGTCAGGGGACAACTTGTAAAATTTGATTCTTTGCTTGCATGTTGAGTTCTGGGATTGAACCCAGCCATCAGGTTTGTGCAGCGAGTTCTTCTGCCAACTGAGCCATCTTGCTGGCCCCATCATGTCATTTTAAATCAAAGGGAATCAGCTGGGCAGTGGGGGCGCACAACTTTAATCCCAGCACTTGGGAGGCAGAGGTGAGTGGATTTCTGAGTTTGAGGATGGCCTGGACTACAGAGTAAATTCCACGACAGCCGGGACCACACAGTAAAACCTTGTCTTGAAAAACCAGTAAGTAAGTAAATAAATTAATAAACAAATTGGAGGGGATCCAGGCTAACATATAGTTGAAGTCGGGGCACTGTGACATTTGTGATCTTTAGTGGAGTCACAAACTCAGATCCTTGTGTGTGCACAGCAAGCCCCTTCGTGTCTGAGCTATGTTCCCATCCAAATTCTCTCACGTCCAATGTGCCTATAAGGAAACAAGCCCAGAGAAGTCACAGGCATAGCTAGAAATGACAGTTAGTATTTGAACTCAGAGCCACCTACCACCAAGCTCAGTCTATTAATTAGCCTCACCATGGTGCCCCTTTGAAGAGCCTGGGTGCTAGGTAATTTTCTTCCCATGCCTTTCACGGTTGGTGAAGAGACCTGGCTGGCCCTTCCTGGCTCATCCCTCTGCTTCTAGCCTATGTCCCCTCCATTTTCTTGGACATCCTGGGTCTCCTCTAGAGACTTCACATGCAGCCATCACACAGGCCCAGAACTTCTGAAGTGGTTAGACTTTGCTCTTCCTGCCTCCAGATTGGTGCTGCCATCAGATGGACCTATGGGAAAGTGTGTGGGAACGTTTTCTGGATTAATGATTGATGTGGGTGTCCACAAGGGGTGGTGTTACCCCTGCAAGTGATCTTGAGTTGTACGTAAAAGCAGGCTGATAAAGTCATGGGAAGCGAGCCATGTCTGTTTCAATTCCTGCCTCCAGGTTCCTGCCTTCAGTTCCTGGACAGAAATTAGTACCCGACAATGGATTATTGCTCTGCCAGACCTGCCCATGTTTTGGGGAGAATTGTGGAAGGACTTTGGAAGTTTTGTCTGGGAACTTTTGACCACTGAGTGTTTAGAGCACTGGGCTGTTACATGAACCTGGAAGCTAAGCACACTGAGAGTAGTCCAGGTACTGGAAGCCTGGTTTGTGACATGTCAAAGGGAAGTAAAAACACCATCAGGGATGTCTGAGCTGTATCTTGAATTACGAACCATTAAAGTGGGAACTTTTCTTTCCTAGAACCATTGATGCTAGTCATCTGAAGCTGAGAAAAGGGCCAAGAGATCAGCATCACTGAGGTAAAATCTTCTGGGTGTTTCTTCTCAGAGTCAGCACACAGCAGCTGTGGTCCAGAGGTACCTTGTGCTGGTAGCCAAACTTGATACCATGAGTTTCCAATGTAGTACTGAAAGTGTTTATAAGGGTGTCATGGAGCTAAGGCTTGGCACCACATGTCTGAAGAGAGCCCGACAAGGCTGTTGATGAAGGGGCAGCCTAGCTGCAGTAGAGACCCCAGCATTTAGGAGATGCCTGTACCATGGGCTAACCACCATGGACAGCAGCAGCTATACAGGGGAGCCCACTTGAATGGAGGAGACAAATCATATGTGGTAGAGGGCAGAGCCTTAGAGGTGGACCCTGGGTCCTGTGGAGTCCAGGGCATGGTGCGCCAAACCCAGATATGAAGCCCTGAACTTTTTACATGGTTGGACTTTGATTCAGTGGTAACTGGCCTGGTTTTTCCCTCTTAGAGTGAGAAAGCATTTAGTTTGCTTCTCAATTTTGTTAAAGTCCACAGTTGAGAGACTCTGGATATTTTAGAGGGCCTTTTGGGTGCTTTAAAGAAACTGATATTTTAAGGCATTTGACTAATATAAGAGATTTAATGTTCAAATATGAATTTTGAATTTTGTACAGAACTTAAGTGAGTTTGGTTTTTGTTTGTTTGTTTATTTATTCATTTATATGAACTTAAGAAAAATTTATGGAAAAAAGGAACCTGCCAGTCGTGAGGTGTGGCTCTCCACATCTGTCCTGTTTCTCCCCCCACCCTGTTTTCTCTCTGAGCAGGCCCTTTGTGGTCTTCTTCCTGGCTTACAGAGGCCTCTTGTGCCCCAGGCCCTTTGTGGCTAGAGAGCCAGGCCCACTGCATGTGGAACTCCCCAGACTACCTCCAATGCCTCAGTCACTCCTGGCCCAGCTGCCCCAACTCTCATCTCTTGGCTCTGTCCCAGCTCCTCTCCTCCTACCCCTGCTCAGCTGGGCGTGGCCTACTACTTGAAGCACAGCTGTGTGAGCTCAGGTCTGAATTCTTATGCCTACTCGGCTTCCATGCGGGGCTGTTGCGGTTGCTCACTTTATAGATGTGAGTAGTTCTGTTGCTCCCCTGAGCCGGGAGGCTCCATGGCCTTGGTGTTGATGAGGGGCCTGAGATGCAAGCACTCATCCTCCAAGTCTGACTGGAGTCCCATGAGGCTTGTGTTACTGTTGTGTTGCTGTGAAGAGACACCATGACCAAGGCAACTCTTATAAAAGCATTAACTGGGTCTGGTGTAGAGTTTCAGAGGCTTAGTCTGTTGTCATCATGGTGGGGAATCACACAGGCTGGAGCAGTAGCTGAGTTTGAGAAAGAGGGAGGGGGAGGAAGGGAAGGCAGAGAGAGGGAGAGAGAGAGGAAGGAAGGGGAGAAAGGGAGGGAGGGAGGGAGAGAGAGGGGGGGGAGAGGGAGAGAGACTTGGCCAGGTGTGGGCTTCTGAAACTTCAAAGCCCACTCCCAGTGACACACCTCCCCCAACAAGGCCACCCTCAACTCTTCCTAAACCGTTCACCAACGTTCACCAACGGGGGCCATTCTTATCCAAACCATCACGGTCTGGGAATCTGCCTCTTCCTATCCTATCTTAGAATGCTGCTGCTTCTAAGGCTTGAAAAGGATGGCTCTGTTCTCATCCTTACTTATACCCCAGAGCATCTCAAAACTGCTTGACTGGCCTGGTTTGGGTGGACTTTCGAGATTGCCAGAAGCAGTCCTCAAATCTCTAAGCCCAAACCCTCAGCTGGACTTGGCCCCTCAGCTCTTGTTGGAAATCTATAGAGGAACTGGCAGTTACTGGCTGAAAGGAGAGTCTGCTAGGATGTGTTAACATGTGGGATGGAGCCCGCAGAGGGAGGCCACAGGGCAGACAGTGTTAGGATTTCAAGGGAGGTGCCGAATGCTGGAGTTTCCCACAACACCCTCTTACTGCATCCCCTCTATTTTGGGAGCCAGTTCCCTAAGAATCTGATTATAACTTCTCTAGTAAAGGGGGCATTCCTGACTACTTGCCAATGTCCCTCACCCATCTCTGATGACAGGCAGGTCCCCATCCTGGGGCCTCAGTGGCCCCAGCTAGAAAGGGAAGTTCTTTCAAGCCCCGAGGTCATATGATATTTGCAGCGGATGGGAAGCTCTCAGTGTCACTTAGATTCTACCCAGAATATGACCTCCTTTCTTTCACTATAGCTTGTGCCTAGTGTTGGTGGTGTGGTTCACTTCCCTGTTCTTGGCCCTCCTAGGTCAATCAGCGCAAATGGGAAGGTGAACTAGAGGAAGCCCTGTGGGCTGCAGGCAAGTCTGCAGATGCATGCTTGCTTTCATACCTGCTAACTTGGCACCCAAGTACCAGTAAGCCAGGCTGGGCAGGCAGCCAGGCAATAGTCAGACTCTTAGCTTTGCTTTGAAGCAGTGGCTGTCTGGGTTCTCTTCTAACTGCCTGAGGAAGCTTAAGGGTTAAGGAATTCAGGGGACAGCATGCACAGTGGGATGGAGGCCCTCTGAGATAGCCAAAGGTGGGGTGGACAGGCTAGTAGGAGCCCCCAGACTCAAGCCTATGCGACATCCAGTCCCAACCTCAACCTGGCTATCATCTCTGTCACCTTCATTCATAGTCATGAGGGCTTTTACTGTTGACGTTTTGGATTTTGTGAAATGTCACAACCTAGGAAACCCTATTAGTGGTATTCTCTGTAATGGACACATTCTCTTACCCACTGCCACACTGATACCCGCTGTTCTCGATAAGCCACCCAGACTCCATATAGGTAAACAAGGAAGGAAGCCACCATGGGATGGATGCTGAGACCTTTTACCTGTTTTGCCTCTATCCTGGGCTTGATGAGTGAGGTGGGCTGCAGGCTCCGCAAGTTCTGGAAGTCTTTGGTCCAGGGACAAGATCCATTCCATCAACTTGATACTTGGTTTCCACAGTGGGGGCCTGACACCACAAATCCCCACTCAGGGGCTTGCAGCAGTAGCCAATGGAGCAGAGAGGACAGCCGAAGCTGAGAAACAGAAGTGAGGGACTGACCAGCACCTGAAGGTCAGGATGGGAGGACAAGAGGTGCTCCCTCCCCCCAAAATGACCCCAAGATATGCTTATGATAAATATGCAATCAGAACTATGAATTTTTTTTCTCATCCCAAAGTCGAGGAAATTACCTCAGAACAGGGCTGCGGTGAGTTGGCCGGCTGGAGTAAGGAGAGTCCGGACCAGTGCCACACTAGTTAGTGGCTCTCCATCTTCCCAATGTTGCGACTCTTTAATACAATTCCTCATGTTATGGTGACCCTCAACCATAAAATTATTTTCGCTGCTACTTCATAGCTGTAAGTTTTCTACTGTTATGAATCATGATGTAAACATCTGCTATGCAGGAATGTCCAATATGCAACTCCTATGGAGGGTCAGCCAACCTCCAAAGGGGTCTTGATCTACAAGTTGAGAATTGCTGCTGTAGAACCATCCCTGACCATTCCCCAACAATGGCATTGTCAGAATTCTAACACCCTCTGGTCTTGTCTCGGTGTCATCTATGTGAGGATTTCCCAGGGGTACCCCCCCAAATTAACTGCTCTTCCCTCCAGACCCCTATGAACCTTGTTTGTCTCTCATTAACCCCTTCTCTTGCCCTGAGACTGGAGGTGGTCCTCTAGCCTCCATGGCCTGCAATCTCTGCAGAACCAAGCCCTTCCTTACCATCTGTGTCTCCAGCCCTTCTGTACTGAACAGCACATAGTATGTACTCAGTGAACGAGAGAGAAGATGAAGTCACTCAGAAGGTCCTGTTGCTCCACCCTGGGGGTTGCTCAAAGCTCATTACTCCAGCCACTGCTCACAGTCCTAAATACGGAAGTATGAATCCCAGTGCAGGCAGAGGTACATCCTGCAACCTGTGCTTCAGAGCGGACTCCCTGGGAGTCTCTGGAGCAGGCTGGACAGTGAGGATCCTGGGCCCCTGTTCTTGCCTGGGGAGAGGACTTAGCCGAGTCTTTATCTGAGAGGCCACGACTGTGATGGTTCTATCTTTCCATGACCCATTTTCTCCCCTGGAAATGTCATTCTGATGTCCATTCGGTTCCTGTCAGAAGCCCAGTGAGCATCAGGACCAAGGATGGCAGAAGGCTGCCCTGATGCCTTTCTCCGAGTGACAATTGTGGAATCTTGGCTTCTTCCCATTCGTCCCAGAACTGCTGGGTTTGAAGTGCAGCTTCTGAGAGACTTGGATTTAGACAGTGAGTACAGGCCTGTTGGGGTCACAGGGCTCCACAAAGCTAAAGCCAAGCCCAGCCACCCACCCTTGCTCACTGTGGGCTGTGCCCTCTCCCTCCACATGGAAGGCTCTGCACTGGGCCATGAGGTTTCAGCCTGGGCTTCCAAGTCAGAAAAGCCTGAGTTCAAATCCCAGGCCTGGATTTAAGGAGCTCTTCCCACAAGGAAACCTCTGCCTCAAAGTTGCTGTTTTGTTCAACCCATAAAGCTGTTTTCGTCGTGTCTGAGCCCCAGTCTCTCCCTTTCCCTTGTAGAGGAGAAGGTGATGAAAATTTGTTTTGTAGGAACTGGGAGACAGCTGTCAATTCACTGTGTTTCCCAGTGAGGTTTCTGTGAGGTCCCAGGCCTGGAGGAGAACATTCTGTGGGAAGATGGGCATCTCCCACCATGGCACCCATGCTGCTGAGGCCTTATGAGGCCTCGGGGAAGGGCTTTACTGGACCCAGGGTAGTAAAGGGTAGTACTTTACTGGGTCTGTGGGTCTTTTCCTGACCTCCTGCATGCTGCCATGGGATTTTGGAAGGTCCTGATCTCCTTGTCCAAAGCTGGAGACTCTGGCAAAGGTCAGTCTGAACTGTGTAGACATTGGAACCACTGTGATTTACAGTGTTTTCCTGAGGATATATAGACATTTATAAAAAAGCCCTAACAGAATAGCTTTGCAAACCTTTTTCACCAGCAAGGGGAAAAATGGTGAGGGAAAGGTTAAAAAGAAAAAGGGATTTGAGCCAATAACTTGGACTTTCTGCGGGCCAGCTGGAGAGAAGCGAGTAGCTGGGTTTTCTTTCCAGGGGAGTGCGCTGGGGCCAACTGAGTTGCTGCCAACCCTGATGGGCCTGTGGCCAAGACCTTGAGGAGGGGTGCAGCTGCCCCCATGCCCTCCAGGCCCTGTGTCTCCCACTGTGTGCTAAGCAAGGCTCTTCCTGTACTGGGGGCAAGGTGCCAGAGGTCCCCCTTGGGGCCCGGCTTGTTGAGGTTGGGTCAAGCTCTGCTTCTCCCTGGATAGCTCTCAAGGGAGACAAGAGAGGGGACCTGAGAACTGGGGTCTGAGGCCTAATCAAGGAAGATCCAGTGATGGCTGTCTGTCTGTCAAGGCTGGGGTGAATGACTAGGCAGAGTCTGGCCGGGGTTTGGCCAGAAGACCTTGAGCTTGAAGGCAGGAGGGACGGTCTCTTGCATTCTCACCTGCCACAGGTGACAGTTTATTTGTGACAATTTTCAGCTGTCCCTGCAGACAAAGGCTAAGTCTCCACAGCAGCTCTTCTTCCCTCTCCCTGCCCCCAGAGACCCATCCAGACCCAGGCTGTGTTTGCTCTGTGGGTAGCAGAGGGTCCACTGCCTGGCTGGGTAGATTTCTGTCCTTCCTCAGGTTGCAGAGGTACACAAGGACTTTGTAGTCATACTCCCCTGTGAGGAAGTCGTAAGAGTCGTCCAAGCCAGCAAGGAAGGGGAGAGGCAGCAGGACTGGCCAGGTCTCTCGCCAGCCGGGCAACACTGTCAGGTACTGGAAGTTCCTGACACTGCCTGGCCCAGTGAGTGAGCAGTGGCAGATGGAGAGCTGGCCGGAAGGGGTCTTCTCCCATCAGAGACTCCTAAATTCTGACTGGTGAGTTCAGTGACGACACTTCCTTCTTCTTCATCACGATGTAAAGAGACCCATGGGGCTGGTGAAAATGCCTGACTCTGAAGGAGATTGAAGAAAGGCTGGGATGGGTTTGCACTTGGCCACAAGTGGAAAGATCAGAGCCAAAAAGCTCCTCAGAACCAACAATCCATCCCCTTATTTTACACTTAGGAAACTGAGGCCCAGAGAGGGGAAGGGACTTTCCTAGAGAGCCCGACCATGCCTTCACTCTGAGCTCCTTCTGTCTACTTTTTAAACTCAAGCGAGCAAGTGTCACTTCTACTGTAATCAGGACCAAAACCAAGACATTCAGCAAATTGGAGAGAGGGTGCATTTTCTCATAGGAAAAATATATTCCTTGGTGAACAGCACCTGCCGGGGTCCAAGGGTCTTTTCCATCCCTGGCTTTTTAAGGGAAGGCAAGATGAGTGTTCTCTTGTCCAGTTAGTGTCCAGATGGAGGGATGTTCAGGTGAAGGAATGGAGTCATTCTGGGCCTCTAGTGAGTGCAGATGAGGGAGGAATCTGTGTTCTGGTGGGCTGTACTGACTCCCCTGTGACACACACACACACACACACACACACACACACACACACACACGGTGGGGAGCTCTTGGCCTGAGAGCTTCCTTAATGGGAGTATGAAGGGAACTGAGGGAGGAGGATTTAGGCTTGGGAGGGGTGGGTCACAGAAAGAACTGAAAATGAGAGCTTTGCAGTTTAAGAAGAGGCCTGGAAACTGTAACCAGAGATAGTACATTCATTTCCCAGCTGCCCAGACCCGAATAGTCAGACAGAAACTATATTAATTACAGCACTGTTTGGCCAATGACTCAGGCATATTTCTAGCTAGCTCTTATATCTTACATTAAGTAAACCAATCCATTTTCATTATTCTATGTATTGCCACGAGGCTGTGCCTACAGGTAAGGTTTTTCTGGCATATTTCTCCTTCGGCAGCTATGTGGTGTCTTCTAGACTCTGCCCATTCTCTCTTTATAGCTCTGTTCAGATTTCCCACCTGCCTGTGCTCTGCTAAGCTATTGGCCAAACAGCTTTATTAATCAACCAATACAAGCAACACATATGCAGAAGGACAGCCAACGTCAGGAAACATCATTCCTTTATTATTGTCATTCCTAAGGGTGCCCTACCCTGCCCCTCTGCTCTGGCCTTTGTCACCTGTCCCTTCTGGCAACAGCCCCCAGACTGGGTTTTCCCTTGCCAACCTCTCCCTTCAGTCCTAGGGTCTCTGGGCTTCCTGGGGCTTCCAGGGTCAAGTCTAAATTCTATAAACTTCAGTATCACACTTTCCCCTAGCTGTCTGTTGGGAGAGACCACCCCCTAATCTGTGAGCATTCTCCTAATCTCTGCCTGCCTGCCTTCCCTGCCTGCCTGTCACGGCACATCATCTCACATGTCTGCTTCCTTCATCCTCTGCTCCTGCAGTCTCCCGACAGTTTTTGGGGCCTCCCAGTTGCCATCCACCCCTATGCCTGCTTGAGGCCCGTTCTGTCTTCGCTCCCTTTCCCCTTATCCTAACCTACCCCTACATCTCCCTAAAAGAAGAGCTGGCCTCCAGCTCTCCTCACTAATCCTGCACACCTATCTCTCACATGCCCTGTGTCCTTGACAGGACCTAAAACAGAATATTGAAGCTGTCCATAATTTATCCTTCTCCACGTGTCGCTAGGTTGTGGTTGGGCGTATTCTTGGTTCACAGTAGGTCTTGCAGGGTTTAGCATTTAGTAGAGGCTTCATAAAACATCTATTGTGTCAAAATGATCTGTTTCTTACTAGCCCGAGGAGAGTTGCTCAGAGGCAGGACCCACCCCCACATCACTGGCATGCCTGGCACAGAGCCTGGCTCCCAGGCTGTCCATAAATCCTTAACTTAGAGGATTTCAGCAATGCTCAATTGAGAAGTCATCTGTATTATTTCCTCTCTAAAGAGGCCCCTTCTTGGGAGAAAACCTCACAAGTTGTCTTGCTTAGGGATCCTTATGAAACATGAAAAGCTATTTGCTCCAAGCAGAGATTGACAGGCGGGACTGGAAGCAGGGTGGGAACATGGTGGTAGGAGGGGAGAGAGGTCAGCAGGTCCCCTGCACTTGCTTTTGGCTTTCTGCCTGTGAGAAGGTAAACAAGGCAGGACTGTGGGTGGGGGTGTTTGATGTTTCAGAGATCAAAACAGCACTTTGTCCTCCTTTCACAGACAGAGACCATGAGCACAAAGCATGGAGGTGCGTGCAGATCATCCAGGGAGAACCTGTATCGTTCCCATGGTGGGTTTGGGAAACACCTCCATCAGTACTTGTGACCAACTTTGGGTGGTTTACCACTAAAAATGAGAGGGAGGGAGAAGAGAGGAGAAGGGAGAGAGAGAGAGAGAGAGAGAGAGAGAGAGAGAGAGAGAGAGAGAGAGAGAGAGCACGGATATGATATTGGGTGGGTTCTGGGAGGAGTTGGGCGAGGGGAAAACATGATCAAATTGTATTGTGTGGAAAAATTTTTCAATAGAAAGGTCAAAGTTGAAATGAGAAAATGTCAAGTTTTGTTGAGTCCCCACCATAATCTGTTTTACTGTCATTTAAATGTTAATAAGAAAAAACAGAAACACATGTATGCACGCACACACGCACGCACATGCACACGAGCGCACGCACACACACACACACACACACGAAGCAAACACGAGATGACACTTTATAAAGAAGCACACTAGGTAATGAGATAACAGGCAGGGAAGACCTCCTGGGGATGGCGCTGGAGCTGACCACAGACTCACAACGTGGCTGCAGAAGGCAGAAAGAAGAGGCTAGCTAGAGGAATAGTGTGAACAACCACATCTTTCCTTGTTGCCAAGCAACAGGACTGCTGGGTCCAGCAGCATTGGGAGGCAGGGAGAAGGCCCTGCAAAGTGGGTCCCCACAGCAGCAGGTGCCTTGCTGTGTTTATCAGCTTCACCTGTTCATGTGGAGCAGGGCTCAGTGGGAAGGGACCTCTGACCGAGCGATGCTGATCTAGCTCTGATCTGCTGCTGAAGTGCCACAGAACGGGCCTCCGATAAGATGCCTTCTGCCCCTGGGAAGCTACTTCCTGTCTGGTCCTCTGCTGCTCCTCTTCCGTGTGACGTCCAAACACCACAGCTTTAAAAAGCACTACTACCCCAATGCCTGGCCATTATGAACTGGATGAAAACAAGATACAACACAATCTGGTTGTCGATATTAATTTGCCTGAAGGAACCCAGTACTCTTCCACGTAAACTGCACTTTCCTGGGGCGGGGCGGGGGGGGGGATCTGGGCTGGGCCCCCTCTTAGATGAAGACTGCTCTTCCACGTCACAGCTCTTGCTTGCTGGTTTTCCTCACGCCAACAGCTGGTCTGCAGCTGTCCATCTGCTGGCCTGGCTCCAGGCTGATAGGGATGATTTGGTAATAGAAAAAGCTATGGCACAGCCATGGGGTTACAGCTCTCCCAAATCACCCAGAGTCGCCTTAGAAACGGGCCACCGCCTACCACCTTCCCTCGCTGATGTGACTAGAGTGTGGATTTTGGCACGTGAATGCTGTGCACCATCCTCATGTGTGGCAGCCAGGGGACCACCCAGCCCTGAAAAGCTGGCCCACACCCCTCAGGGTGAGCTCTCTCTCTCTCTCTTCATGCCTGAACTTGTTTTTCCTGGCAGTGTAAAGGCCACATGTTTTGTGGCCTTACATGTGAGGCGCCTATGTGGGCTCCTTTTACCCAGCAAGGGGAGAGCGATATAAGAAGGGCTTCGTGGGAACAGAACCATTTATAACCCGCTAAACTGCCTGTCCTGATAGAGACCCAGTCCCTCCTGCGTGGAGTAATGCGTACAAGATGTGGAGCGCTTCGGGCCATCCCAGCCATGTGAGCCGGCCAAGCACTTATGTTTTGAATAACCTCTTGGGCGGCGCTTGCTAATTGATACCAGCGACAGCTTCGCAGCCCTCGGAGAACAGAGAAGAAGCCAGGAATCCCCAGGACAAGGGGAGGATTCACCAACGCCCTTGAGTCACTCCACACCATCACACGTGTCTGGTCCAGACAAACACTACTAGTGACTGGAAGTGCACTGCCCATGAACTCCGGCTAGTCTGCTGGAAAACAGCTTCTAGAAAGTTCTTTTCTCAAGGAATCCAAACCCTGCCTCCACAAGTCTTCATGTTAGGGCCCTTGCCCAGTCGGTTCTGGTGCCGCCCCTCTCACAGGAGCACCCTTTGCTGCAGGAAGACAATCCTGAATTGACCCAAACTGCGTGAGACCCCTAGACTTCGTCTCCCAGGGCTTCTTAGACAAGTAGCTTCCCAAGTGCTTGCTGAGCGGCCCAGCGGGGAATCCGGATGAGTTCCAGGTTCATCCACAGTTTGCACTTAGCTGTGGCAGCTACCAGGAATTAGGAGGCTTCCTCTCCAGGGTCTCAAAATATCTGAGACCCTGATCTTCACGTCCACTAATGGGTTAACAGGACTTGTTCGTTCAATTCTTTGACACTAAGAAACAGCAGCCCTGGTAGAACTGTGCTTGAGATGTATCCAGATCCAGCTTAGGCTCGTAGGCTTCATAGGTTTCAAGCAAACAGGAAGATGAGCACACCTGGGAAACTGAGGCTGGGATTAGGAGAAATGACATGTGCCCACAGGTACATGGCACACTCCCTGGGATCTGGAACTCTGTGCTTTTGAGGCCTGATCCAACGCCTTTCCCTTACCCTCAGACAGCTCAGCCAGGCAAAGGGGATGGGACACATCAGCTACCAGACACTTGTGTTTCGTGTGTTTCTGGGCACAGGTTGGTGTGGCTTCGAGCAGCCACCGTGCCCCTCCTCCCCTTGAGAGCAAAGAACTGGGTGTTTATGGACCCCCGCTGTGGTCTCTGGCCCTGGAAACAGGGTGTGCCCACTCAGCCTGAGGGAGCCGAGGCGGCCAGTTCCTGCTCTGCCGCTCTTCTCTGTGCCCGGAAGCCTGAAGGCACAAGGGCTGGCCGCTTTCCCAGAAAACCCAGCTCACTGCCTGCCTGTTCTGTCCTTGAGCTCAGCCCCAGTGCTGTCCCGTGACAGGATCCAGGTTGGGGATGGAAGACAGCAGACCTCCTCTGAGGCTTCTGAGAGAGCCTACAAGTTAGGGTCTCCAGGGGTGGTCCCCAGGACCAGGACCCCCCTACCCCAGGCAGCATGCACCTTCATTCAGCTTGGGGGGCCTGTATCTGGAAGACAAAACAAGGGTGCCCTCCCCTCCTTGATGAGTTACTTCTAAAGGCCCTGTCTCCAGTATGGGGGGAGGGGACTTGGAGGCTATCCAGGGGACAGCCTTCAGGCTTCTGTGGTTTCTACTGGCAGGGCTGGAGGACACTCCCCACTCCCCGTATTGTGTGACCACCTAGGCTGAAGCGATAGAGTTGACCAGAGGCAACTTTTGAACTCTTTCTTTCCCTACAGTGAGCAGAAAGCCCCTTTCTCCTGCTTTGGTGGGGGTAAGACGTGTTGTTGGAAGCCTGCAGGCACTGACTCTGAAGGGTGGCGTCAAGGATAGTGGCCACCAGTCAGTCTGTTCTCAAGATGGTGTCGTGTCTCCCTTATCGAGTGGCCAGGTGGAAAGGCATGGGCCGTGGGTATGGTCATGTCTCCCTCATTGTGAATTTTGTGAGTAACATACTGATGCAAAGAAAGCGGTTGCAGTTCAGCCTGAGACTGACTCGGTGCTCTCATCTGTAAAATGGATCCTCAAAAATGTGGCCCTCTTAATAGTCACTGGATTTGAATGGGCCTTTCCCACTTTGAGGAAGGGTGGGATCAGCTGACCTTGCCATCCAGCCATTGTCATGCTGGTCTAGGAAGAAGCCCTTAGCCCTAGCTGCCTGGGAGGGCTGCAGGCCGGGGTGACGCATCCTTCTTCCTTCCCCACTAGGAGGAGCACTCGGCACTTGCTGAGGTCAGGAGGGCGGGCGATGGGGGGCGGGGAGGGAGAGAGGAGCGTCTGGTCCCCGCTGCCAGGTCCTGCCCTCCCCGCAGAGCTGGACCTCGCGTCTCCAGGGCCCTCTCCCTCCCGGGTGCTGGCAGGCTCTCAGAGGCCGGAGGAGGAGGTCTGGCTGCCAGGAAGGGTGGGGCTGCCAGACGCTGCAGAGCCACACTGTGACCCAGCCGTCCCGGAAACGCTCCCAACCTTGGCCCTCAGCGTGCACATCCGGCAGGGAGGGGTGTCAGCCAGGCTGTCAGGGGGACCTGGGATGCCTCCGAGAGGTCAGGCTGCTGAAGATCACCAAAATGGGAAAGAACAAACGTGATTTTTTTCTAGCTCATCCTGGGGTGAGAGGCTTTTTGAAGGGCTCGGTGTGAAACAGAAACAAGCCTTTAGCAGGGCGTTTCTCTCTGGAGTCTTCCTCAGGTTTGCATGTAAACGGGATTTATTAATTAAAAGAAAATAGTCAACAGATATTTAAGAGTGTTCATTCTGTGCCAAAATGGTTACCTACACGAACACTTCTACAACTCGGTATCTATTTTGTCCGTTTTATACATGGGAATGCAGAGGTGGGAAGAGCCATGGGACCAAGGTCACCTTAGTCCCAGGGTTGGATCCCAGATACACCACCCCCCCATGCTGATTTTTTGCATTTTTCTTTTCTTTGTTGAAAGCAGAACCTTAGGTTACCCATCTCTGCAAACTGCCAGTACCTGGCATGCCCTCAGTCCAACTGTGTTGAGCAGGAGCCCATGGGCACTTGGGAGGTTCTCCTGAGCACCATGAACAGACCAAACGAAGTAAAACACCTGACAGCTTTGAGGTGGGCACGTCGTGGGGCCACAGTGAACCTGGGGCTAAGGGTCTGCATTTCTACTTTTGGTGTGGTTTTTCCCTTCCCACAGACTGTGTCAGGATGATGCTGTTGGGAGTCACCTGCAGACCCCTCCCTCATCCACAAGGGAGGGTGTACCTGGTGGGACCGGAGGACGCAGAACCCAGAGTCTCTGTGTGTCCCAGATCCTCCGGGCCTGGGGGAGGGGTTGAGTGGAAAGACACCTGCTTCCTTTGCTGACATCACTGTGGGAGGCCTTCTCCTCACCAAGTCCTGGTAGAGGAGATGACGTGGACCGGGAATCTTGGCCTGCCTAGAGCCCTGAGTCACAGCATCTGGCCCATGTACTGGAGGAGCGCGGACTCTTATGTCACAGCTTCCAAGGATGCCTGGGCTGGTCCAGCCTTTTGCAGCTCGGTGTGAGAGGGGAAGGGGTACAAGCAGGGTTGACAGTGGGTATCCTTACTCCAACATACCACCTCACCTACCACCTATAAGCATAGCTCAGTTTTCTTTTCATGCCCCCCTGCCCTGCATTTTTGACACTCAAGCCAGAACTGCCTTTTTCTCCCATCACTTTGACTCTTTGGGTGTGGGCTGGAGTTCAGCAGGTCACACTGATTTAGATTCAGAAGGAATCCATATGGAAAATATCCATCCCAGAATCCTCAGCAGAGGGAGAGAAGTCATGCAGGCATGGGACGTCACGAAGGGTATACACGGGGACAGCAAGCAGCCTGAGACTGGCAAGATGGGAAGTTGCTGTCATTCCAGACTGTAGGGCCGGAGAGAAAAAGGCATTGCCAGAAGCCAGAGGGGAACCATGGCCTTGGTGCAGATTTCTTGGTAGGGGTTGGGCTCCAGGGGTGGTGATGCCAGGCAAAAGGAGAGAGACTGCTCCTTCTCCTCCTCCCTGGATCTCCTGGCAGTAGGAGGCTTGCCCTTGGCAATGATAGTTTACACGAATAGAGCCGTGAATCGGAAGGCAGGAAAGGAGGATGGGCAGATACAGCCCTGGGTCTGAGGCAGAACGGGTCACATACCCATTAACCTACCATCCCTCTAATGTGGGGGCAGGAGAATTGAAAAGCACACTTGCCTCTTAGAGACTGGCCTGAGTAGTTAACTCAAATGTTACTTCTGTCCTGAGGGGGTGGCGTGGTGGACCATTTTTGGAGGATGACCTGCTTCCTGCACATTTTTCAGAAGATGGAGCTGTGTCTGGTGCTTAAACAAGCCCAAGATGCTTCGACAGACTGTCACAGCAAGGGCGGCAGAGACAGCGAGAGAGACTGATTGACGTGCTCATTTAGTTGATGCTGGACTCCATCAGGAGACTGAAGAGTCTCAGCTCAGATGTACCAATTAACTTCAAGCCTCTGGCTCTGCGTCATTCTTCAAATGGGGACCCTGCTTTTTTCAGGGTTCTATAGAAACGAATGACAAGATGTCCCAGGGAGTGTGTAGGTAGATTGCTCGGATAAAGGCTTGTGCCTATAAACAAGCGCCCCACAGGAGCGTTGCCTGACCTCGCTCATGTGGTTACCATCCTGATGCCCTCCCGGGTGGGCACCTGTACTGCTCATCGCAGAACCACAGAAACAACAAACGGTATGCAAGAATCAGCTTGCCCACCACCCGGCCACCTCTGCAAAGAGTTCACTCTTCAAACACCTCAAACTCCTTCCTCCTCTTTTTCACCCCACCCGCTACCTTGTTTCAAAGATACTGTATAGCATTTTGTCAGGTGCAGGGCAAAAAGCGGTCCTACCGGAGCTGGGTCTGGGCTCATCTCCCAGCTGGCCCAATCTGTGAACACTGTCTGCTGAACATCGCTAGTAACAGGAAGCTCACTTCTTTATGGGACAGCATAATCTTCTTTATTAAAGCTGAGTTCTGCCTCCCTGCCATGCTTGTTCTGACTCCTTGGAACTTTGCCGGATGAGTGTAGCTCCAATGTCTATGTCACAGCCCTTGAAATGTAGGGAAATGAAGACGGTGGATCCAGCTTTCACTCTCTGGTTTCCACTCGGGACAGGGAAGCTGACTTTCCACACTATTAGATCCCTCAAGACGGTGAGATAAGAGCTAGCATGGGCTGGGTGCCTGGGCTCTGTCCCCGGTGTTCCCGGAAGAAAGGAAGCAGCGTTGTGTACCCAGGAAGGAACACATGTGGAGGTTTACAGGTGAGGGGGCAAGTTCATTTCTGTCTGGGGTCCTTCTCTCTGGGGTGCAGAATGTTTGCCAGGCGTGCTCCGGGTAGCTGCCTGGGACAAGCCTGAGCTGTAGAGTTCGGGGTCTGTGTCACAGCTTCCTCTGTTCCCGAAGGTTCCTTTTTACACCTCCCACAGCTTGGCCCCAGCGTCCCTGAGAATGCCGGCCGACAGCTGCACGGAGTAGAGCCACAGCAGCCCTTGTCGGGTGCCAGCTGGCCGTGCCTGGCCACCACCCGGGGATGTCAGAGCAGAGCTGCAGGCCACCCTTCCGCCAGCAGGAAGCCCGGCCGCAAACACTTGGACAGGAAGCCTGTGTGTTGGCCAGCTGAGACAGCTCTGGTTTCTCTTGTGTCTGAGGGTTTGGCCTCTGGGTAGAGGAAAGTGAGCCAGGTGCTGCGGGCTGCGCCGAGGGGGCCACAGACTCCCCCTTGAGCTTGGGTTGTGGGTTCAAGGGTGTAAGCCGAAAAGCATCATCCAAGCTGGGGCAGAGGAGGTGTTTCCTGGAGGAAGGGCGAGGGAGCAGGGAACACGATGTTTACCAGGGCTGGGCCAGCTGGCTGACTCTGTGCTGCGATCCCTTTGTGCTGGCTCCAGGGATGATAGGGTTGATGCTTCAGTCCTCCAGTGCAAACCCAGGCTGGCTCCCATTTCTTGGCTGTCTCTACATCTGGGAACGCACACTGCAGTCTCATGGGGTTGGGATGTCCACATGTGCCTGGCTTCCAGGGTGACTCCTCAAGGGTGCCAAGCTGTGTTGTGGGAGAATTACTGAAAACTGAGCATGCTCTGCCAGGGACAAAGATGGATTCTGCATGCAGGGCTGACATTTTTTTACTCCTGACTATATATGTACATATCTTGAAGGCAGTCTCTGCTTTCATATAACAGTCATGAAGGTCCCTAGGATCGCAGGGCACTTAGATTTTCACAAGTCCCCTCACAGCCTGATTATCCAGTAAGAGATGTCTGGTGTCAGATACCCAGGGAAGCAGATTGGCATAAGGTCACACAACTCAGCAGTGGCAGAACCTGGGTGACCACAATGACTTCTGCCACTCTAGAAAGACAATGAAGAGGTTTCTTTCCAAAAATATATAGATGCTCATGCATCTATCCGAGCATGTTCACCTGAGCATCTGCTTTGGGCTCACATCCCCAGGGGGACTCGGCTTGTGGCTTTTGTCACTTCTGGGCTTCCTCGCAGCTCTTTTCTTTTGCCGTTTGAATAATCTAGGTTTTATTCTACTTTGTGGCCTCTGTGGTTTTGATTCTAGACCAGGGCTCAGCAACTTCTTCTACAAAGGCTGCCTGGTAAACTTGCCAAGCTTTGTTGGACATGTATTATTGGTGGTCATAGACCAGTCTCTCCTGTGCATGCATAAAAGTGACTATAGATAATACATAATCAAGTGGTCTTATCTGTGTCCCAATAAAACTTTATCCACTGAACAGGCAGTGGGCCAGAATTGGGCCCCCAAGCCACAGTTTGTTGGCCTTAAAACTCCTTCAAGCCCAAACTATGTTTTTTTTTTTTTGGTTTGTTTGTTTTTATTTTTTGTTTTTATACAGATTCTCACATACTGGCCTTGAACTCATTGTGTAGTTAAGAGTCAGAGTTCATCCAATGACTGAGTAAATGAACAAATTAGTTTTGCAACAAGATTGTTTTCGGCACTGCTCCCACACGTCATTCTGGTCCCCATGGGGACAATGAGATGTTATTGAATGTCATCTCCTTGAAGGAATACATAGGCTGGTTTGAGCCAGTTTTGCTCTGGTTACTC